ACAACTGCTGAAGCTCCTTGGATGAGAAGCAAAAGGTTTTCTTCTTCCTCAAGTAAAAAATCCAGTCCAGTTGCCTTTGGAAAAAGCACCATTGAGGTAACTGTGAGAGGGACCTCGGAGTCCTAGTGGACAATCATTTAAACATGAGCCAGCAGTGTCCTGCAGCTGCCAAAAAAGCCAACACAGTGCTAGGCTGCATTAACAGAGGAATAGAATCAAGATCACGTGAAGTATTAATACCACTTTACAATGCCTTGGTAAGGCCACACTTGGAATACTGCATCCAGTTTTGGTCACCACGATGTAAAAAAGATGTTGAGACTCTAGAAAGGGTACAGAGAAGAGCAACAAAGATGATTAGGGGACTGGAGGCTAAAACATATAAGGAACGGTTGCTGGAATTGGGTATGTCTAGTTTAATGAAGAGAAGGACGAGGAGGGACATGATAGCACTGTTCCAATGTCTCAGGGGCTGCCACAAAGAAGAGGGAGTCAAGCTATTTTCCAAAGTGCCTGAAGGCAGGACAAGGAGCAACGGGTGGAAGCTAACCAAAGAGAGAAGCAACCTAGAACTAAGGAGAAACTTCCTGACAGTTAGAACAATTAACCAGTGGAACAACCTGCCTCCAGAAGCGGTGAATGCACCAACACTGGAAGTTTTTAAGAAGAAACTGGACAGCCATTTGTCCAAAATGGTATAGGGTTTCCTGCCTGAGCAGGGGGTTGGACTAGATGACCTCCAATGTCCCTTCCAACTTTATCATCATTATTATTATTATAACTATAACCTGGATGACTGAGAATCTCCACACTTTTGAACATTATTTGTAGGGCTTGTTCTGCAAATTGTTGAGTGTTGATACTTTTTAAAACAACTATTAAATAATTAAATTAATTAATAAATAAAAGAATTCCTGAAATTATTTTGAGTTTATGAATTCCTTTACATTCCTACCTGTAGAGTTAAACCTGGCAGGCACTCATGGACAGCAAGGAGGTTCCTGTACAGAAACATCCGTATGCAGTCTGAAGTTGGAAGAACTCTCCTTTACAGCCCAGCAACATTCAGTTATCATTCAGCATCTTATTGGGCTTCCATATTTAGCTTAAGAGCTCCTTACACAGTTCTACTGTGCTATTGCATTTTGCTTCAGATGCAAAGTAGGAATATCCTCTGTCCTGATTCATACCCAACTTTCAGTGACAACAACAATGTATTTACTGACTCAAGATCCCTGATTATGATATCGAGCATAATCATTTTCTCTTACCTTTTCTTTCCATCTGTTTCCTTCCAGAGGGCCGAGATGCATTTTTCATGCATTTCTGCAAAGAGCCATTGTGAAGCTGTGATCTTTAATCATAGCCTCAGTTTGTTACCATAATATAGATAGTATCTTTAGAGAAAAAAGTTAAATGTCAGGGGAGATAATAATACCCTTCTGAGCTTTGTGTTTTCTGTGGACTCTTCATCAGCCAAAATAGAATGGGAAAGAAACTAGTTGAAAATTATAGTACATTAAAACAATCAGGCAGTTACATTGATATTTCAGATGAAATTAATTATTTTCAGATTAATTGGGGTTATTTGCTGATTACTAAAAAAGTAAAAGGGTAGCTCTATTTCAAACACATCTGAACTAATTATCAGGAATAAGAAAGCATTCAAGGAACACAAGGTAATATAAGCCTGCAAGACAATACAGTAAGGGTGTACAGGACAGAATTGTGCCACTAATATAATGGCAAGTTTACCTGCAGTACTATATCATTACTGTGCTAATATAAGTAGAGAGACTTCCAAATTCTTAGCGATTCTTTGCCTTTTAAAATAGGTAAGGTCTATTCTGTGGCCATTGCCTTATTATATGTTTCCAATACTTTTTTATCTTCTTAACCTACAATAGTCAAGACAATAAAGTTCACACATACCATATATTCCCCCATGTATGTGTGTGTGTATGTGTGCTTATGTGTATCACACACACACCACACACACACACACCACACTATTGAAAAGCCAACTCCAACTCCAACTCCAACTTTTGGTTGTTGCAAAAACCTCAAAGCTACCAAATCTGCATTTACGGTACCTCTTCCTTCCATTTTTTTAAAAAAATCTTCTCTTCACGCCAAAATCAAGACAAGAAATTTATTGACCTTTCAGAATTTCTGTAAAGGATCCTTTTTGGTCTGAAGAGACAAGTAAAAGTCCTTTTAATGATAATTAAATGTTAATCTGTACAGTAAGTTATAGGGATAATACTAGCCAATTACTCAGTTATTTTGTACAAGGAACCTATGTTTTCAAAGTACCAGTATGTTCAATATAAGATTTATGACTGTAGTTATGCCAGGAAAAGACTTGTCTCTAAATATAGCGATTTCTTGAAAAACTGGTAATTCTTCCACTATATCAAAAATAATGTTAGACAAAAGTAAAAAGTTCATTTTATTTCTTTTTGATATTAGCAGATTTGCAGCTGGATATGGCTATATAAGTTTATTGAGTAAAGCTTACACAAATGTCTACCTGCGTTATCCAGGAAGGAGGCTTCTCTATTAAAAAATGTTTTCCTCAGTGAAATTGCCCAGAATTTGTGGGTCACTGTTGCTAATAGCATAGTTGTTCTCTAATGGGGGGAGATGACAGGTCTCATGATTTATCTTTTTTTTCCCACACCTTCCAAACCAAAAAGAAAAACACAGTAATTTGAGCTATGGGGATTTGGGAGTGGGTGGGAGTGGAAATGTAAGAAGCAATGTGTATGTGTTTCAATTAGTATGTGGACTTTTCCAT